TTTTAACAATATTCCAGCAATATCACGGCGGGGACACCAGAAATTGGCTTCACACATTGGACCCATATGGGGAATCGAACTCAGGTCTTCGGCTTGACGAGCGAACGCTTTTACCATTAGGCTACCCCACCACCCCTTCAGCTGTACGACGTTGGCCTTAGATTAATCGAGTCTGGACCACTTCCAGTGACTGATATTATGAGCACCTATCAACAATCTCGGTTCGAAGACACACAATCAAAAGGGACAGAGATTCCTTTAATCGCTTTTTCGTGTCCATCACGGATTGCACCCGTGAAGATTCGGGTTAGAATTGGCCTTCAGTAACCCATGCTTGTTCTAAGAGGCGACTAACGGGATTGGGTGGTCAGGCTTGGTTGACACATGTCATCGGTTCCCAATTGCGCAGATCGATGCTCATGCTTTTGATCACTAGATTGTCTGGGCTAGAAACGATTATTTACAAACCGAGGCCATATAGCTGGAATATTGCTTAGTGCGGCGTAAAACTAAACTCATTCACTCACTCACAGGATGTTGGGGATCGTAAAACCGGGAATTACAACAGTGCCATGAATGGGATTGTAAATGATACAGACGTTATAGCTTTCTTATATAGAACTTGTTAATTCAAGAAAATAAGTGCTCGTTTCCAGTTAAAGTGTGGATCTATGTGCTGTTTATCAAGGGGGGATATAATGTTTTGATGTACTCTTGCATGGGTTACATTGGAGTTGATTGAAAAGTCAATGTAGAAAAGTATTCAGTGAGAATATATTCAAACAACCTTTAGAACGTAAACAAGTTGTTAGCATAAAATAAGGGGGCAGGGAGAGGCCGGTGTATTGGAGGGAGGGGGCGACTCGGGCCTGATCTTTGGTTAAAAGGGCGATGTAGTAGACCAGTGGTTTCCATTCCCCATTTCGTAGAAGTTGAAGTATTCCGGAACATTTGATATATATTATGAAATATATTTCACATTATTTCTAATATTTTAAAACCACGAACGTTAATGAACAGTGCTTTCACTTTTGTGTCATATTGTTTATCAAATGCCTGTTGTAACGTAAGGTTTGTCAAATGCTTGTTGCATCATATTTTTTCAAATACTTGTTGTATCATCATGTATATCAAATGTTTGTTGCAGCATAAGGTTTACCAAATATCTGTTGCATCATAATGTTTATCAAATGCTTGTCGCAAGAGACGACTAAAGTGATCGGGTGGTCACACCCGCGGACTGGTTTCTGAATATCACCGTGGCCCATTTGCGTAGATCGATGCCAATATTGCCAATCACTGGACTGCCTGGTCCAATATTGAGTAATTACAGAAAGTCATCATATTTTTGGAATATTGATGAAAGCTTCGTTAAAACACAACATTTCATATACAACGAAAAATGAAAACAAATGAACTGGGACTCCGTACACAGATCTAGCGTTTAGAGTTATCGGTTACTAGTATGTTGACACGAACTAATAAGATGTGTTCAAGGTTCCAGATAAGTAATAATATTGTTGAAATGATAATTTTGTTTTAGGCACGAGCACATTAGCGCTTTCATACTTGATATACTTAGTACATATATGTACCTACCCTCGTGGTTTTAGATCAACACACAAATTCTAAAAATGTATTGGTAATAATATAAAATTAATCTTGTGCCAGAAATGTGGAACTTGAATGATAAATTTCAATTAAAAATAGTTCTTGACATAATTTTGGTTTCCATGACTACAAAGAATAAACATCTCCATCAAATGTATCTTACCACAATTACCACAAAACATTACACTGCGATATATCAATAATCACACTGTAATAATCTCATAATTAAAATCCACATGAATAAATTCTTACTGACAAACACCATCATGTTTTTGAGAGCAAAAAAATCGGTCTTTTTTCGGTGATATAACGAGAAGGGAGAAGATAAATACATAAATCAGAATCAAATATACGAAACATATATCTCATGTCAATTACTGACAAAGTGATAATGCCAATCAAATTCGTACCTCTTTTGTCAATTTCACTCATCAGCTAATATGACATCCACGCGTGTGTTCATTAACTTTACATTGTTTAGTTTTCAATTAATAAGTACAAATCAACTCGGCCAGCCTACGGGTGTATGTATATCCGTACCCTTGTTATGCTAATCCGGAAGCGAACATGACATGTCGTTTTCTCGTTACCCACGCTTGCAATGTACAAGATATGTGTTAGTGTCTTCGTGTGTCACAGTACCTGCCTGAAATGAGAGATTGTTTATTTCACTTGTCGATGTCTTGTCGCGTGTTCGTTGTTTCCTTCATTTGTCGATAGCTTGTCGATGGCCTCAGGCATAAGATACGACCATATATCTGTCACTCAAGCCGGGGATGCTATGGCTTGGTGCATTACTGTTTCCTAAACTTTAAATCCGTTGACTTTAATACGATTAAGTCGTTCCAGGGATGACGTAACTCACAATGCGTGATGTGTTTCTTGAGAGAAACGTGACAAGTCTTCAAAGATTAATCAAAACATACGAAATAAACAACAATATCATATCATTGCTCACATCAGGCGTTGCAGATTAATGTCTCAATTACTTTTAACACTCAAAGCAAACTATAACCTAAAAATTTGACTTGAAATTAATGGAACACTTTCAGCAATACGTCATCATGCATTAACTTCACTGAGGTCACATGCAGGATAATTGTGACTTACTGGAGTGAGTATGGTTTTTACGCCGCTTTTAGCAATGTTCCAGCAATATCACGGCGAGGGACACCACAAATGGGCTTCACACATTGTACCCATGTGGTGATTCGAACCCGGGTCTTCGGCGTGACGAGCCAACGCTTTAACCATTAGGCTACCCCACCGCCCCACTGAAACATACACTGCTCCTTACATAAGCAGCCTGATAGTACACATATAACTAAATTACGAGTTTATAACTGTAAAGTTACTTAAAGAAAACATGGGTTTGGTGAGCGAATCCGACTATGGGGACACACTTGAGGTATATTATACTTAACTTATCCGATAAGTGTGAGCAGAGAGCTCGAGAAAAGCACACGTTCCAGAGAATGTTTAATTATGCAAATCCCATTATCAGTGATTCATCCGTGACAGCGGGTATGTCCTGTACAAATTCTGGATTTTCCTTGGGCCATATGTTTCCGTTTTAAATAAAGAATTAATTTGTCATTGCATATGTGCGTGACGTGTGCCACGGGTTGGGACAGAATGCGCTCACCTTTTCAGAAACACCTGGTATCGTCATTCTTTGATATTGATTCATAAAACAAAGCTTACATACCCAGAATCGTACGACAGATTCTGCTACATGAAGTCGACATGGGGATAGCAATGCCCGCATGTACATTTCCTCGCACTGATGTTGATTTCAATCAATATTCACTCTCAGTACGGTTCATTTCACATGTCGATTTCAAAATTTGCTTCTGTCCTCGACAAAACATATATTCGATACAGTACTCTATTTTGATTTGTTCAGTTTGTTAGTTCGAACACTTGACTTGACTTTGCGTGTGTCTGTGTCGGGTATCACCGGTGGGGATGGGAACGCTCTCCATTTTCGAGAACTTGATGATTTATGCATATCATATAATCAGAATCTCTCCACGGACACATCTGTCAGCAGTTGTATTAATTATATGTCGTGTTTGTTCATGTATTTTACATTGACACTGTTCGTATTTAAGGTAACTGCGTTTTGCACGTGTCAATGATGACCAGTGCTACGGGAATGTGGAAACTTCAAAACAGCTATTAACTTTGAAGAACGAGAGTACAAAGGACTTTGTTTAATACGGTATCAGGTATTTCGATTTGATTTTTTGTCAGGATATAAACCCGTTCAGTTTAACCGTTCTATCAACATACTCTTTCTCTGTGCAAACTTTGCAGGTTACATCTGCAACGTTGTCAACACATACGCTGTTTTGAACATCACCCGCATCCGATGTTACAACTGGCAAAATGTCAAATCTATATACATGCATGTGCATTTTTTGTCGAGGGTTTTCAAAGTCGTTAGAGATGAAACACTGACTTATTTGGAGAGCGTTTTTCTGATTAGCCGAGTTGGTTGGGGTAGTTAGTATAACTGTGCTGTATTGTGGTGGGCGATTTGATACATGAGCCTTTTTGTCCTATATGTCCTAAAAATAAGATCACAACATTCTACATACGGTAACGTGAGACAAAATCATCATTTACATCTTTCACGTGGATTTCGATGTCCTTAAGTCATTTTCTGCTGACGACAGCGTAATACAGTGTACATGCTAACAAATATCGGTTTATGTACATTTTATAGCTTGCATTCGCTGCACCTTCAGACCCTAAGACAAATGTCAGTTCGATTAGTAGATATTAATTATGCATAAAAATACAATAACAATCAAACAAAAATATGAAACAGATTCTTGAATTGAATTTTAAACCCCCTCATACTTAAAACTCACATCATTATCATTGATGGGATTTGTTCCATGTTAATTAACACAGGACTTCTTTAAAGAATCACCCCGGTTCACAGCAAATGATCTTTCAATTTTATTATGCCAAACAATATTTTCCTCGTAAGAGATAACAGAGATAGTTAAAGGAATATTTTAAGAAAAATCGTCCACTTTGCCTTAATTACACATCGCATGAATCATACAACGGGGAAATATACCAAGACAACCACATTAATCAATTCGTGTGCGTGTGTGAGCATAAGATATCTGATAAAGATATCATTTGACCAAGAAGAATAATGTCTATCTGAGATTCAGCGCGGAGTACCGATCTTGATATTATTTCAAAGTTGTATCAAACGCAACCTTACAAAACAGCTTCAGTACCCGGGCTTTCGCAACGGAGTCCGAGGTATGTTAGATGTGGGGCTGCCGCTCGGATTGGTCGACGAGCAAACATAACACTTTTGAAGCGCGAGTTATGCCGAGTCACTCGTAGGACCTCGGGCGCTACACGACTTCGGCTGGCGACTGTCGGCTCGCGATTGGGCGAGAGGCCTTTTAACCTTACGGCTGAAACAGAGGGTATAGCTCAGTGAGTTTTCATTCCGCTGAGAACAGTGATAGGCGAAGATTTACTACTGAACTGGTAAGTTAATGATCTTTTATGGTTTTGTGAACATCCGTTAGCGCTGCTACTGACCACTGACTGACCGGGAGGTGGAAGTGGACAGTGGTGTGAGATGGCCGTGGTATTTTCGATGCGAGTGGTCACAAGCCTTGGTTCTCATAAATATTGTAAATGTTCTTAACGAGAGGGAAGGATTTTATGGTGTGTTAATATCGGTGACAATTTTTTCATACGATCATCCTGCGTCGTTTTATTTCTCGTGTGCAATTTGCCAATTATTATTGCAATAATGTAACGTGTTTAAAGGAAGAACTAATTGACGCAGCTCTTGTTAAAGAAGCTAACGACACTGGGGCACGGGGAAGAAGAATCTCGGTTTGAAATGAAATTGTCGAGGGGAGATTAAGTTTATGACCATCCCGTCGCTTTGTTTAATTCGGGCCTATTAAAAACACATAAACCCTCAGGAGGGGAGTTTTTCATGAAAATAGAATTGGATTTAATCTGATAGCAGAAAGAATATGGATTGTTCGAGGAATTTTGTCTTGATATGAAAAATGTATTTCTTTAGATTTGCCCCATCTGTCGCAAGGTTTTCGGGAACGTGTTGGGGTTGGTACCGTCGTCTCCATCAATCTATTACTAACACTGACCCACAACATTGACATCTCATGAATTGATTTAACCGCTAGCATGAACGAAAATATTTCAAAAAGATTTAATACAGAACAACTGTCCATACCGATATGTTTCAGTCAATATCGATAATCAGCTGATCTCGCGAGGTTTATGATGTTTGTTTATGTCACTGAAATGGACGTACATTTGATAATTGGATGATTATTCATGTTACGTTTTATTCGATTTTTCGATATATGTGGATTTCCTCGTATTTAGTGATATTTGCCTCTTTTGTTGACAAGGAAATGTTACCTATATTCATTGTAATGTTCAATGCGGTTTTAGCCTGTAAACGTGGATTCTCACAAGACGGAAAATGGTTAAACCTGAACATTTAACTGTCAATATCCTGATGTTTATGTTGGAATCTTATTCTATAGTGAGTATTTACGCTAAAGTAAGTATTTGGTACATGGTTTTATGAGTCGGGAATAGTATATGTAAACTTTAACACGAGTGTAGTAAAATCGGCATATTGAGTCGGTGTTTACGAAATGAGAAAGTAACTGAAGTAGAATTCTACATCTACCCCTTGTGCATTCACCTATACCGTCCCGTGTACATTACACAGATTTTGGAAGGCCACTATGAAATCTATATGTCTCCACACCGACTCGAGGTGTTCATTTCAACGCACCTTGAAACACACATGAACAAGGAAATCGATGTAAACGACCATTGAGTCTACGTCATCCTTGTATGTACCGTTATGGTAAAGTAGTACGTCAGAGAATTACCAGGAACCCGTAAATTCTGTAATTCCGATGAAACAAGAGACCTATATTACACCAGGGATGATTGTCCGCGAGATACCATGGAATCGGAAAATGAATATTTCTTTCCGACAGAGCCGCAATTGGAGCCTTATTCATACCAGTCTCGTCAGCGTTAATGCGTCCACTTCAGAAATCACATGAAGTCTAGCATTATTCCGACATTTTCGAATTATCCTACAAATATGCAGTCTTTTCACCGACCTTGCCTTATTGCTTTTACTATTGTAATGCACTTGAATAGTTGAAAGTAATGAATGAACTAGCCGTCACTCAAACTTGAAATCGACACAGAGCTACACATGTATATTGCTTGTTCAAATATGGTAGGGTTTGAAAGCATCTATGAATTAATAATACGACCGTATCGGTAAACAATGTTGTATAGTCAATCCGATTCAATGACCTGTTTTTGATGGTAATTCTTGAACAAAGAGTTATAATAATTTATTGCGTTGGTTGTAACGATTCATGTGCATTGCTTAGACATGCGTTTAATACAACTTGTTTACGTCATTTTCACCATGCTCCAGTTATCAAACGATTTCTTGTACCGTTGTTAATTTCAGTGCAAGCATAATCAAACGTGACAATTCTGCCGTAACTTGTCTTGTAATCAAGATACCAATTAAATTTAACATCACTTAATCTCTGAGATATTTATGTCCAATTGTACTGGCATATTATGCCGGCAACATCGTTAAGAGGCCAGTCAATTTGACTCCGTAAAACACATGATTAAAAGCATTGTTTTAGAAGATTTTTATGTCGATTTCACTGACATCCCATCGATTTCAATATCCTCTTCAAATAATTCATCCAATATCACGAGAATGGATGCTCACTGGAAAAATATATCAAATTTCTTCCTCTCAGAGGCAATATCGATAACTTGGTGTCAAAACATAATAAAAAGAATATTCTCTCTTTTCCCGACTCCGAAATAGGAACAACTCACAATAGTTGCTCGTTCGCCAATGAAAGAACAGCTCTAATGTTTATTTTATAGAGACAATCATGTATCCGACCGTATTCCTTGACAGTTTTATGTCCCTAGCAGAATTTATGAACGTCAATTTTCCTTAAATCAACGAAAATCGGGGGAAGTCGTGTCTCTATCGTAAATATTCGGGGGGAGATTTCCTTCGTTAGTCCCTATCAGCGGGCAGCATGCGCGCCAGGCTATAAATTATTTTCTTTTTCGGGTTTTAATTCCGGCGTTTGCAATTGCTTAATCAGTTCCCGAATTAACTGCAGGGCATTTGGATCATTGGTAAAAGAAATATCTGCCGCCGCACTTTGACCGCCATGTCGGGAATGTTTTGCCATATGCAGAAGGAACCACGGACGTTTCAATCAAATATTCACACAGTCATCGAATGGTACTATGGATCAGACGGTCAAAGGCAGGATTTACATGTGAATATAGTTTATGATTGGATTATTAGATAGTAGCACTTCACCGCGTGGGATTGATCACTGAAATATAATTCTACATATGTTGGAAAATAGGAATGAGAAAATCGATTATTGAAAGGGAAACATGTCCAAATGCTGTTGTTTTTCAGCGGAGTTCAATCATCTACTTATCTAAAATTTCATGAACAAAACTACAAATGTTGAGATACAATTCACGTTATTGACCAAGACTTCAAAAAGTATGTTATGTCTGGAGGGATAGTGAGTATACTGTTATTCGCTGGTACGTTTGTAAAAATATACCAGACTGAACTTGTGCCGATGTATTGTACCATTTATTGATATATCGTTATAAGTAATATCTTCCGATACGGTGTCATATTACTTATCGTTCTTGATAACACTGAAAAGGATATTGATAGTATTGTTCCCTATACACGTATATACCTGTAAAATAAGTACAAACCTATACACGTATATACCTGTAAAACAAGTACACAGCAGGGGAGAGTGGTGAATGTTGAACGAAAAGGATACCTAATTCAGATTCTGTTTGTTTCGGCCTTTAATAAAGGCTATTCATTGTAAACATACATATGGATTTGGATACGGGTTGGAGTAAAAGTACTCGGGGCAAGTTGAAACACTACGATCACGAAATATGATAAATTTCATTTCGCTTTATTAAACATAAACACATTTCAAAATGTTTCCCGTGAAATCCAACATACCATAAAATACACAACAAAAACATGCTATATGTTTACTTTTGTGTACATCTTTTTGACAACCAGAACCACTCGTCTTCTTTTCATTCCCAATTCTCAACAATCTGTGATAAATCGTACAAAAAAACTGTCAAAATGGTCTTAAACACTGGAATTATGAGCCAGTAAATAAGATAATAAATTACGCTTTTCATGATTATTTACATACACCTTAAAGTGTGTTATTTCACCGGCAATGGGAAGCTATGGGAACTGAAATAAGCGCACGTGGAAAGCCTGCAAGAGTTGAAACTATAAGATAGACGATTCATCACAACAAAACAAATTACCCCCGAAAGAATATATCAGGCACCCGATATGGCAGAAAAAGAATAGTTGTTTGTTTTTCTTCTAAACCTTTATCTACTTTCTTCTATCGAAGCTATTTGTCTATTGGGTATTCTTGCATTACTCGAGTGTGAAATTATGACTGGATTTGATTGATTTGCCTTTGTAATGGAGGTTAATGCTTCTCTTAAGGAAGCGCATTTATCTTTGTACTTGGGTGACAGACAACTAGTAGCTCACCCCTCCGTATAAGCGGCGGGGGTGGGCACTATGTATTGCATTGTTTATCGATGTCGACAATACTTACTTAACGGTCGGACAGGAATAAAAACGCATGTTTGTGTAATGTATGTTGCGCACGAGTATGTGCCTGTTTAGCTTTAGTTTTATGTAAAACAAATGTTTGCAGAGTATCTTTTGTCTGAGCGTTGTTATTTTTAGAAACAAACATTGATAAGGAATCCTAGTGGTTGGGCATGTATATGGTGTATCGTTGATCCCGTGCCTGTATTTTCAAAACCACATCGAAAAAAACATATATACGAATAGGTGATGTGATACAGGTTCATATTTCTTGTAATAAACAGCTTATTGACAGAGTTATGCATTAATCAACACACCACAGACTACAGCTGTGAAACCAACACGCTTACGTGACACTAATATTCAGTTCTTTAAAATAAAATAAACAACGCGTAACATGAACTGGTCTTGAGAGTACTGCATTGTACATTTCCGTCAAATACAATACTTTCACGACCACGTGTCTCCTGAGTAGTAGGCGGGTGTTATTCGTTTCTCCTGAGCGGTGTTAGTTTTTATCTTGATTTAATCCATCCCAAAGAGAGAATCCTTTAATATTAAGCCTATAAAAGCTCGCCTTAATCCTGCGAGAGAGCCTCTTCTCCAGCACTCTCAAAGTCTTCAGTGGCTACTGAGAGCTACACTAACACTGGGAGTCAAAGACAGCCTTGGACTATTGAAGTGGTCAATGCATGCTTTTATGTCCCTCTCCTCGCGTAAATTTCACTCCCGTGCTAACGAGCGGCGAAATCCATTTGACCTTCCATAAAAACACGTCACTTCGTGC